CGAAAAGTAAAAAAAAAAAAAGTGACACTAGGAATGCAAAATGTCATAATTTAAACACCATCTTATTCGCTCGTCAGTCATTTGCATTAATCTATCATTGTGTCTTCAAATTCATACTCATCTCTACCTCAAAAAAGTGATACAAATTTTTAAAACAAATGACAAACATAAAAAAAAAAGGTGACACAAGTTCAAAAAGTGACTCAGAATTAAAAAAATGTGACAAACACTGAAAAACATTCACTTGTTTCGATGTAGTAATAGAGGCAGTTGAAAGCATGATTTTAATCAACAAGTCGAACACATCATGATTTCAAAGGGAAAAAGTCGAACAAATCAAAACCATCTAAAGTGGATAGATATAAACAATCCAAGTTATCCATGAACAACCAATTCAACTTCATATGTATGTTTTAATCAAAAGATCTATAACATCTAATTGATATATACAGCCCACCTTAATAAGAAAACGATAGTAACAAACCCACAAGAAAAATTATCAAATTTAGTACTTGAGTTCATTCCAATGATGCAAAATACTGAATTTCATTGAGGGTTAACCTGACCAGCCCCTCCAGGATCATCAAAATCACAGGACAAGTGCCTTGACATCCCTCTACTCTCCACCACATACATCTTAAATCACTCGGCAAAAACCTATCAAATGGAATAAATATCAATGCAGGAATTCCAATAATTTCCAGACAAAAGCAAAAAGTAGTATTCCAAAACTTTACCCTCCACTTACAATTTCATGGACTGCAAAACGAATGGACACTTACGCAAAGAGCCTTCATATTTACATAATTGGGCGTTGTTCAAATTTACTGAATTGGTCAATAAACTTCATAAGGATGCTTCCCCCAATTTATATAAAAGCCATATGATGTTTATTTAACTACATCACGTCGTTAAATGTAAATGTAAATTCCAATTGAGACATTTTGTTAAACACCTTGACGGTATCTTAGAAAATCAAAGGGAAAGAATGTACCATTTAGTTTTGGAGCTAATCCAAAATTTAATGACAATTTTTTTTATGCATTTATACACAAACTCTATCATAAATAAATTGATTAAACCTTTGAGATGCAAAGATTGCCAAGATTCTTTATCAGTTTCTGGAGGGGCTTGAGTTAGAGAGTCGTTTCTTCCCTACAAATGCTCATGATTGGAGCTTCTAACTTCTTGTCGTCATTGTTGAATGTGAGACAAAATAGTTTGCGGATACTATGAATAATGTTGTTTTTTGCTTAAATTTGAAGACCCCCATCGAAAATTAGGGATGACTTTTCGTAAGATCATCAAGGGTAATCTTTCCACAATTCCTAGTATCCAAGTGATCAAATGGTTTATAGATCTATAAGATTTCTTTCTCCGAAACCATACTTGTCTCCTTGAGCTTGTAAATAACGTACACTGACTTAATGTCATATACCTAGAGGAAGGAAAACCAAATTACAAAAGCAAAAAAGCAAAACTTAATGCAATTCTTTCGAAGAAATTACAATAAATTCACCATCTCAACAAATTCATAACACATTTAAGGTTTTCTCTCTTCGAGAATATTGGAGTCGAAGTCGAAGTCGGAATCGAAGTCAGAGTTGGAGTCGGGAACGGAGGTTTCTCAAGAGTCATTTGATTTAGGGATTTCCCCTATCCGATTTGGGTTTTTGTTATTGGCGTTAAGGTTTTGAATGTAAGTAATACGATAATAGTAGTTTTAATTAGTTTTAAGGTATTAATCAAATACTTAATTTTTACAGGGTACTGTACCTAATTTTCCCTAAAATTAATTATTGATTTTAACTAAGATTAAAACTAGATTTTAATCCATGGGCTAAATTTGATGACCCACAGGTCCCACACTAGGCATTATATGGCCCACGACGACTCAGAAGCCCAATCTATTGTAGTCCAAGTGGCAAATAGCTACGAGTTTTAACCCTGGTACAAACTCCTTAAGCGAGCCACAGGCCACTGATCCTGGCCTAGCCCACTGAAAGTAAGGACCCTTGCTGGGCAACATGACCTCAACACTAATCAAGCAAAAACAAATGTACAAAATAAAAGGAAAAGAAAAAGAGAACAATACATAATTCCTAATTTTAAAGTTTACATTTCATAAATAACAAACTTATTAAAATATTTCAAAAATTAGGTGGTAAATAAATTTATTAAATATTAAAATATAATATAATTTATATTAATTATTTACACCCCATGACACCTCACCCACCACACAACACCACCTTCCCTCCATCTCCAGCACCTGCTCCGGCGACGGCCCGACGACTATTTTGGTGACCGCTCCGACGATTTCAAATTTTTTAGAAAATTAAAAATTGGAAATCATACCCCCAACTCATGGATCCACCGACCAACACCCCACCCCTGCCACCACCTCCTAAAAAAATTATCGAGAAAAAAATTGTGTTCAGTGTGACTGTATCTGACTAATTGTAACCAAGTGTGTATTCAATGTGACTAACTGTGACCAGGTCAATCTCAAGTCACAATCGGTCACAATCAACACAAAATCGGTCACAATCAACACAAAATCGGTCACAATCGATCACACTTAACACAAAATCGTTCACAATCAAACGATTGAGAAGGCAACTAACCTTACCACCAACACAATCCTCACAACTCTAACTACTACTGAAACTCAAACAATTGGGGCAAGCCGCCAGCCCCTCCTCCACTACTAACACCCTCACTGTTCCACTTATAGATAAAACCCAAACTCAACCACACAACCAGCCAAACACAAACACAACCCCCGCCGCCAACAAGATATTGCTCAACGAAAATGAAATNGAGTGAGGAGGTTGCGGTGGAGGTGGTAGAAACGTTAATTTGAAGCAATTGATCAAGGAGGAGAGAAAATTTTCAAACTTCATCTTAGAAGTACTTGGGCTGAAACTTCTTCAGATTTCTTAGAAATGAACAGGACTTTATACTTGAAAAATAGAAGAGCAAAATTTTGCTACATAATTTGCTCCAACATCTCGTTCAATTTAACCAAAGTTGCGAGACAATATATGAATCAAAAATTAGAAAAAAAATAATGGATATGCACTCCAGAACTATTGTCGATGCCGATTAATGGATCTGCACTCCTAGAAATTCAAATCGCCGACGCCACTGTAATGGTTGGGTCGTTTCCAACCAAAACCAGCAAAATATAGACCCCAATTTAACACCAATTCAACACAAAATAATACAATTCAGCTGGGAATCAATAATCCAAGCGGTAAACTTGATTGATTGAAATAAAATTATAAAAAATTTCCTTTGGATGCAGACTCCAAAAAATTCAAATCGCCAACATCGCCAAAAAATTAAATCACAGAATAATGGATCTGCGACGAAGCCGACACTGCTTCACTCAGTGACGCTCACATCAAGTAGGTTGCTGTAGCGGTGCGGCGGCGGTGATCGTCTTGAGCGGTTGTGCGGCATCTTCCCAACTGTCTCAACACTACTGCTTCCAAGCGGCGCCCCTCGGTGGTGGTGTCTTTAGAGCGGCGGTGGTGTCGTCTTTGCAACAGTCCGACAATGGTGGCAGTGGCGTAGACGGGATTGGGGATAGAGAGAGATGAGCGAGGGATAGAGAGAGAGAGAGAAAATAATATAATTAATCATCTTATTTATCATCTGAATTTTGAAATGTAAACTTGAAAGGAAGGGTTTGATGTAATTTTCTCAATAAATCATACACAAACACATCCAGACATGGTAGATATTGACAGCTCCATGTGACCTGAAGAAGAAAGTAGAACTTAGATTGCTTCAGTTTAATTTGAAGCAATTGATCAACGAGGAGAGAAAATTTTCAAACTTCATCTTAGAAGTACCTGGTCTGAAACTTCTTCAGATTTCTTAGAAATGAACAGGACTTTATACTTGAAAAATAGAAGAGCAGAATTTTGCTACATAATTTGCTCCAACATCTCGTTCAATTTAACCAAAGTTGCGAGACAACATATGAATCAAAAATTAGAAAAAAAATAATGGATATGCACTCCAGAACTATTGTCGACGCCGATTAATGGATCTGCACTCCCAGAAATTCAAATCGCCAACGCCACTGTAATGGTTGGGTCATTTCCAACCAAAACTAGCAAAATATAGACCCCAATTTAACACCAATTCAACACAAAATAATAAAATTTAGTTGGGAATCAATAATCCAAGCGGTAAACTTGATTGATTGAAATAAAATTATAAAAAATTTCCTTTGGATCTGCACTCCAAAGAATTCAAATCGCCAACATCGCCAAAAAATAAAATCACCGAATAATGGATCTGCGACGAAGCCGACACCACTTCACTCAGCGACGTTCAAATTGCGCAACGCTCACATCAAGCAGGTTGCTGTAGCGGTGCGGCGCGGTGACCGTCTTGAGCGGTGGTGCGGCATCTTCCCAACTGTCCCGACACTACTGCTTCCAAACGGCGCCCCTCGGTGGTGAAGTCTTTAGAGCGGCGGTGGTGTCGTCTTTGTAACAGTCCAACAATGGTGGCAGTGGCGTAGACGGGATTGGGGATAGAGAGAGATGAGCGAGGGATAGAGAGAGAGAGAGAAAATAATATAATTAATTATCTTATTTATCACCTGAATTTTGAAATGTAAACTTGAAAAGAAGGGTTTGATGTAATTTTCTCAAAAGAAAATTATCGAAAGCCATCAAGAATACATATAGCAAGCATAGTGTCACGGACCTGGCCATTCAAAAGCCCCGGTAGCTACTTTAAGCTATATGCACAATTACGCCCAATGTAACTTGAAAAACCACAAAATTAAATTAGCCATCGAGAGCTTATAATCGACTGAATATGGAGAAGAGACCGGGATTAACAAAATTGCTCTCAAGTTACTTAATAAATGCTCTCTATGTGACTGTACATGCATTTTAGTCTCATGCAAGATATTTCCAATTTCTGAATAGCAAATTCAATCATCAGTTATATTGAACTGTCACTGAATAGAGTTATTTTTGCTTGAAGTCTGAAGGTGGCATAAAGAATTCTGTATTCAAACCCCATATGTTGAAATCTACCTCTTCGATTTTCCAGGACTCTTCGAGCTCTCTCTTGTGGTTTGCAGATTGTTCCCCATATCTAAAAACTGTCACAAAAGTCTTTCCACTATGCGCGATATTTACTCCATCAACATACTTATAGTCTTCAATGACAGATTCCGTGCTTGTTTCCCAGAATACATCACCGTCGTCCTTGTTGGTTTTTACTGTAAGAAGACGGGAATCTTCAAACTTTACCATAAGGCCTGATCTTTGGCTGAAGTATCCCCAGACTGTGTGGTGGATGATTTCATATTTTGGACCGCTTTGTGCCTCGAGTAATGCTTGGTTGGCATCGAGTTTAAGTATGAAGCAATCCTCATCATTTATGATCTTTTCACCTATGCATACTGCATCTATGAACAAGTTGGCTGTGGATCGAGGATCCAGGCCCTGCAAAATGAAAATAATTATTTGGATAAAATTAATTTCTAGAACGATGGTGTGGCAATGACAACTAGAGAAGACTGAGAAAAAGTAAAAGTCATGCTTATAATTTGTCTTCCACTAACCTGAAAATTGATTGTGTGAGTATGAAATGTGAATACTAGACCACAAGTCATTTTAGACTGTTGAAGCAAACGTATACGATATATACCCTACTATTACTGTTAGTTGTTCTATCAACACTCTCGGTAAAAAAGAATATTATTGTATCTAAGATAATGCATATGGTAAACCATCTAACTTATCTATATGTTAATTTCATATGTAAATCAATCGTAATCAAGTCCAAAATATAATGTTTTCAAAATATGTAGGAAAAAATACCTGTAAAAACCGGCGCAGAGGTCTGGGGGGTCCTTTTGAAATTGGCCTCTGTTGATTGGAAGATTGTCTCCATGAAATTTGGCCATTGCTTCCTGAGATGACCTTGCACCCTGAGATAAGCAACTCTAAATTCCAGAAGCCAGGGTTCTTCTGCCATAGAACAAATCCTCCCTTCTCCTCTGTGTTACTCACTTTAACACTTTGGTCTCCTTGGTGAAAATCTGATGCACTAATTTTTACCTGTCCAATTGCACACATGCTGTTTACTGCATTTATTGCGGCTTGTCCTCCTGTTGCTGCTATGTATTGTTGTACAATGTATTTGGCTGTTGAAGCTTCCTGTGATATTTGAGATATATTATTATACACACAAGAACAAAAGAAGAAGTAATTTAATATAAACGTTAGTAGGGAACCTCAGAAATCGACAGGATCCCAATTCAAGCGAAGAAAAAGGAAAAAAGAAAGAAAACAAAATAGTGCTGAGGGCAAATTTTCTGCCAGAATGTTCATGGTCCTCGAGCAAATATTTTCAGCGCCATTGAAGGAATATACAATGTTCTTTTTTTCCTGTGGAGAAAACAAGAAAACATTGTATTTGCATACATGATGCACGACTCATAGCTTTAACCTTTTTCTACATCATTTGCCAAGTTCTTCTCTTTTGACGATTAGCCATACTCCTCAGCTTTGAATTTGGATTTCTTCAAGATATTTCTATCAAGGAACATGATGAGTAAAATCTCAAAAAGTTATACTTAGGAGACTTCGTTCACATGTTCAATACATTTTATTCTACTGGGAAATGAACATTTGAAAATTGAAGTATTCACATTCCAACCATCAACTGGAGGTCCTCAGATCAAGTCCTCTTGGATTATGGGTCATGGATCACCGGCCTTTGTTGCCTCATCCAACCACTAACCCATATATTGCGTTGGACGGAGTAGTTTATTCAAACTATATGTTGGAGATATTACATCGATAATGTGCATATTATATGCATATGATATGAGGAAATATGGTGTTTAAGCTTACTGTAAATACGGTATCTATTCTGCATATCTGGTACTCAATCCGATATTCTGTTTCGTGAAGCTTTTGAAACAATTATCCAACACTATAAACCTCCCTCAGTTCCCCGTAAGGCCGTAACCTCCAAGAAGTCTTCAATGTTAAAATATGAAGAAAACTGGCCGGAAAATTCTTGCACTAAAATGGAAAAGCGATGGAACCATCTTTTTACACAAATTTTGTTGTAAACTTGGCACTAGATTGTGGATAGTGAACTCGTTTGATCACAATTGATTTCTAGAGCACTGGAGTGCCTCAAAATGCAGATGTGGAGTGAAGAAATGCTAACTATTATTAATTTCTAGCATGCTATCCGATATTACAAGTCCCATCTCTCTTTCCAAGCAGCTTAGGGGACCACACTTGCCACTTCAACAGAGAAAAAGGATAATTATACATAATTTGACAGCAAATCGTGACGGATTTTTTGTTCCATTGATTTTCAGCTGAATGTTTTCAAATTGATTAGTATTCATGCATAAACTCCATATACCCCATAACAGGCAAATAGTTTCACAAAAATTAATACAATCTTTTGAGATGTAAATTGGAAGAAACTCTTACAATGGAAGAATGTTTGATCGGACGGTTGATAGAATGATCAAGCTGTACTTGAAGAGGAATAAGAGGCGATCCAACAAAATAAAGAAGAAAACTCAATTCATTGTAACGGCGAGCAATAACCGGCGACGACCATTTGTCAGACGTTTGAGCCTTCATCCATGTGGACATATTCTGCCACCGGAGCGCAACGTTGCTGCCCATACTGGCGAACATTTCCTCCGGAATGGGAACCTCAAGCACTGTCTCCAATCCATCTTCACGATAGAAATTTGGACAGAGTTTCCTCATGAAATTCTGCTGGTTGTTCTTGGGTGCGTGGGAATGCATTGTAGAGAATTGTAAGAGAGAGAAAGTGAAGGTGTTGGTGTAACGTGGGTGTCACAACGGGTGCTGGAGGCTCCCCTTGCTTGTAGAGGTCATGCGGGCACGATTCATTTTAGCATCTATTTTCCAACCTTATTTAACGTCAAGATTTGTTTTTTAATTAACTAGAAAAGTTGATAGAAAAAATAACTTATAGTTAAATAATTAATTTTAATTATACTTTTTTCGTTCCATAAAGATAGATTTTTTTTTATATTATTTTTTTCATTTGTTCCAAATTCTACATCACTTTCCTTATAAACAGTATAATTAATTTTTTAATTTTCTATTTTTTTCCTATTTAATGTGACTTATTATCAACAAATATGAAATATTCCTATTTAAAATTTTAAACAACTATCTAATGCAAGGTTATATTAGAAAAAATGTAAAAAAATTATATTTTCATCTATATTAATTATATTTTTTTAATTAGTTTGAAAATGAAAAGAAACTTATTTTTATGAGAGGAAGAAATATATAACTTTTCAAACAATATTTCATCAACTTTTATCAATATTAGCACATATGCGAAGAGTAACCCAAAATAGTTTAGAAAATTCAATGACCACCTATGTTAAATAAAAAGTTGGGTTAAATTCATCAATTGCCATTCAACTTTAAACTTAATGTCAACATGGCCATCCAATTTGATTTCGTTTCACCATGATAATCCAAATTTATACTTAGCCCATGTTTGGCCCCCATTAAATTCCATTACATTATATTAAATTTTTTTCTCTCTTCATTACAATCACGCATTCATCAAATAAAATAATATTACACACAAATCTAAAATTTTTCACTACTTTTCCACCACACATTCTCCCATCAATCACTATTCCAAAAATTTTCAACCATAAAAAATGCACAATAATGGGAGCCAAACAAGGGCTTAGTGTTACCATGACCACCCAATTTTATTTTATTTCACCATGGCCACCAAATTTCATATAATGTTTTACAATGACTATCCAATTTCTTTTAACCATTTTCATTAAATTTACAGGGGTAAAATGGTAAATTTTCATTATATATAAAAAACACATTTTCAAAAATAAAAATAAAAGTTTTTTTTTAAAAAACGTTTTTTTAAATATTTTTTTTATTTCATTTGAAAAAATGTTTTTTTATAATAATTTTTTATTTTATTTTATTTTTTAAAGTAACTTTTTTTATAAATAAGCTTTTATTTAATTTATTTTTTTATATATAATGCAAAGTTATCGTTTTACTTCTTTTAAAATTAAGGTCTGTTTGATTGCAATTGTGGAAAATTGATGGAAAGAAATTGAATTTCAGGAAAAGTAATTGCCTAGAAATTGTTTTGCAGAGAATTGTTAATTTAATATATTTGATTGGTATAATTTTTCACCCAAAAAGTTTTTTAATTTTGTGTTTGTTTGGCTTTGTTTTATATGAAAATTGTCCATTAAAGTGATAGTTTTTTTCCACTATTGCTTATAAAAATTTGTTTCCATTGCCAAAAAGTAAA